CTCCCACATCTTCCCCATAGTTACCTCTTCCCTGTGTCCTTCCCTCCATGCATTTCTGCCCCCTGAGCTATGTGTCCCTGTGCATACACAGCCCTTATATTCTCTCATGATTGTTCTGTCCAAGGAGTATATCTACCTAGTGTAAACGTTCACCTCATATGCCTGTCTTTTGTTTGGCTGGAAGCCACAGGAGTGGGTTCAATTCCAGACCTAAGTGCAGCTAGGGGCCATAGTCTCAGGGATTCTACCAGGCTCCATCAGACTTGGTCCCTTATCCAGGATCTCCTATGTGGATCCCCCTTTGAGTGGTTGACAGTGGTAGCCAGGTACCATCTAGTTCTTCTGGTCTCATAGTTGTATAAGCTTAGGATCACATGGTGTACCAGTCCCTTGGACTAATTGTTTCCATATACCCTGATTCTTTTATTCTTTTTCTAGAGACAGCATATTTGGGAGTGTGGAGAAATGTAAGACTGCAACTGAGACAGGGTTCCCTATAATTTTATATTTGTGGATTATGGAAAACAACATTTTTTTATGTATTTAGAAAAATATATTGTCCGGGAGGAAAAAATACATCAGCAAGTGGGAAAACAACAGTAGTGTTGGCTTTTGTGGGCTATGAATAACTAATAAGCGTGGAGAAAGGACAATAGAAATGTGAACACAGTTGATAGTAGTGAAGTTCTAAAGATTATTTTTATGATCTCCAGAGAAAAAGAAATTCTTTACCTTTTATGGTTCTGTTGAAACCATGGTCCATTATAAAATTGTTTTCACTCTTAAAAATATGTCATTTTATATAAAACATGAAATGGAAATTTAAATAGTCTTACTGTTCTGTTTATCTAAAGATAATCTTAAAGTTTTTATTTTTTTGGTAAATGGAAATTTAAATAAAAAGTAAAGTGTTAACTTCTAAGGGTTACAACAGTTCATCACAGCTTAAATTTTTAAATTGATTCTTTAGGTAGTGGTACAAATACACTTTCTTATAGATAAGTGAAACCAAAAATGTGGATCTATATAACAAACTAAATTTGCTCAGAAAATTAATAAAAGAATAAAAAAGGAGATACCAGTTTGGTACAAGTATAATGTCTTTTATTCTAACTAAGAATTATACAATAATCTCTTCAAAGTCATCTTCATGATTCTTTTTTTTTTTTTTTTTTTTTGGGTGAAGATTTACAGAGCAAATTCACTTTCCATACAGCAGTTCACATACACTTTTTCTCATGTCTTTTTTTTTTTTTTTTGACAACATTCTGTGAATAAAAAACTTGTAGTTAATGGGCCACACATGATAGAAATGGCAAAATTTTTGAGGTAAAGGAGAGAGGCTGATGCAAAAACTTACCAGAGCTGGCATCTCTTCATTTGTGACAGAATAATTTAATACTATATTTCTCTTTGTGACTTGAGGAAAAAACCTGTGTGAGTTACTAAAAATTTTCCTTATATCAATTTCTTGATATAATTTTCCTTATATCAACTTCTTGGTTCATATTTGGTTCTTGAAACAAAGACTCAACTAAATAAAAATATGAACTATTAAAATTAATTTTGTTTACCAATCATATCATCTCTAGGAATTTACTGAAGGAAACGCATAGGAATAAAAATATTCTAATCCTGAAAATAAGGAGTCCTAGTGGCTGGCGGTTCAAACCCACCAGCCACTCCTCGGAAGGAAGGTTGGGCAATCCTACTTCCGTAGTGATACTGCCTCAGAAACCCAAGGAGGGGTCGCTATGAGTCGGGGCCGACTCGACGGCAAATAACAACAACAACAACAAGTGGCACAGTAAAGGAGCTCTTGTGGTGTAGTGATTAAGGCATTTGACTGTTAACCAAAAGGTCAGCAGTTCAAACTCACCAGCTGCTCCATGGGAGAAAGATGAGGCAGTTTACTTCCATAAAGATTTACAGCTTTGGAAACCCAATGGGGGTCATTATGAGTTGGAATCAAATCAATGACAGTGGGTTTGGGTTTTTTTGGTTAAGTGGCAAAGTGTTCAGGCACTTGATTGCTAACCAAAAGGTTGCAGTTTGAAACCACCAGGCTCTCCATAGGAAAAGGATATGGCAGTCTCCTCCTATAAAGATTTATAGTCTTGGAAACCCTATAGGGAGTTCTACTGTGTCGTATAGGATGGCTATGAGTCAGAATAGACTTGACAGTAGGGGACAATGGGGAGTACTGAAAATGTTTGTCATAATTTTTAAGTAAAAAGCATTGAAAAATAGCCTAATGTCCAACAGCTAAGAAATGATTAGGTAAATTATGATGTATCAGCTTGTTGTTGTTCACTATTGTTGAATTGGCTGATTCATGGCAACCTTTTATACAACAGAATGAAACATTTCCTGGTACTATGCCATCTTCACAACCATTGGTATGCCCACATCTATTATTGCAACACTGTGTACTTGTAGTGCCTTCCAACCTAGGGAGGTCATCTTCCAACACTGTATCACTCAGTATTCTGTTGTGATCCATAGAGTTTTCATTGGCTGATTTTTGAAAGTAGATTGATAAGACTTTCTTCCTACTTTGTATTACTCTTGCTGCTCCATTGAAACCTGTCCACCATGGGTGACCCTGCTGATATTTGAAATATCAATGGCATAGCTTCCAGCATTATATTGAAAAAAAAAAAAAAAACTCACTGTTGTCGAGTAGGATCCAGCTCATAATGACCCCTCCTTGGGTTTCCGAAGCATTATCACTATGACAGTAGATTGCCCAACCTTCCTTCCAAGGAGCAGCTGGTGGGTTTGAACTGCCAGCATTCTGGTTAGCAGTCAAATGCCTTAGGTACTATGCTACCATAGCAACACAAAAACCACCACAGTAGGACAGACTGACAGAAGTGATGGAAAAAATTCCTACTTCTCATCAAATTAGTTTTTTCAGTACAGTTGAAGTGTCTTCACCTGTCATGTTTTACTTTCCTCTATAGGTACAGATGACCTTAGATGTCAGTTTGCCAAACACTAAGCCTGCATTTCAAACTGACTAACTGAGACTTCCTGGTCTCACCTTCAGTACCTTCTCTAAAATGGAGCTTGCTGATTTTTCTCACTGACCTTCTCATGGGCTCCCCCAATTAACCAGTTTCAACATCTTGCTGCTCAGTTAAGCTGAAAGTCACTGAATTATCTCCACCTCTCCTCCAGCACCCATGTTAATTTGCCTCTAAACTATCTGTATCCATCCTTAGTCTCCATTTATGGCACCACTATCCTATGTAAGGAGCTCTGGTGGCGTAGCGCCTAAGGCATTTGACTGCTAACCAGAAGGCTGGTGGTTCAAACCCACCAGCCACTCTTCAGAAGGAAGGTTGGGCAATCTACTTCTGTAGTGATACTGCCTCGGAAACCCAAGGAGGAGTCGGATCCGACTCGATGACAGTGTGTTGCATTGTGTTTTTTGTTTTATCCTGTGTAGGTTCTCAAACCTTCCTGTGAAGGCCATCGCATGGTCTCCTGACCTTTGCTTCTGAGGACTGGGTTAACCTTTCTGAATCCAGCATGCTCTGAAACACATATACTTGCTCAGAATCATCTGAAACTCCTTATTTCCCAGATAACAAACTCAAAACTCTTTAATGGAACATTTAAGTCCTTCTACCATCAGCTTCCAACTTATCTTTCTCTCCTTATCCTCTGCTCTTTTGCTCTCATGTAAGCCTTTTTGCCAGTCAAATGGGACTGTTACTCATGTATTACCAGGAGAGTAAATTTTGCCTAAAATGTTCCTTGGATCATTCTTCCAGACAGATAAGTTAAACTTCCTGGATTGGTTACATTAAATTCTTTTTCGTTGCTGTATACTAAATAACATACACATGGAAAAGGAATTTGGGCACTAAAATAGGTTTCCATATTGCTATCTTATTTGACAAAAATGCATGTTGTTGAGATGGGCGGCATTTAAAAAGGTGCTTACTTAGCTTAACTACTAAAACAAAATGAGCTATATCTGTGGCAGTAGGTTGCTTCTAGCCTGCACATGGTTGAAATACCATTTGTGCACAGCCTGACATTAACAGGGGAGGAGGTGGATAATGCGTGCAGTGAGTGATTGTTATACTTTCTTGTTTCTGTATGTCCCTTATCCTCAAGTTGCTACCTCCCCCTCATCCAGTTCCTTTAAAAAATGCCATACTTAGTGAATTTTATTCATATGCCCCTGCCAAGACTAAATTAGTTAAGCTTCTTTTTCCCCCATAGTCAGCAGCAAAAAGGCAGAGAGAATTGTGTTTTGTTTTTTGAGAAGTATGACTGCTATAACCATCCAAATCAAGGCATAACCAAGAATTGGGTTTTTCATACTCTGAAATAAAAACAAGAAATGTCTTTTTGTTAATATATCAAACCTACAGATGCTTTTATTTTTTCTATGCAAGTATTTCTTTAATAGTTCTATCAAGAAAAAATAGAAGATGTTTAGCTATAAACAACTCAGTGATCTTTTAATAAATATTATAAGTTGTCCAGGATACCCCACTTTATTACAAGTAAACTTTTTTTATCTACACTGTTCCAGAGAATAGATTTTTTCCAAAATTATCCAGAATTTAAGTCTTTTAATGTGTCTACAAAAGGTATATGTGTCATAAAGACATTTTTCTAAATTTATTAAAATATTTTTTGGGGTTACTTTTGGAAGCAAATCTTTTATGTGTGTTTGAGAAATAAAATAGAGTAGTCTTGATTTAGGAATCATCAATTTAAAACACAAATTATTATTGCTTGTGTTTGAATAATTTATCCAAAATGCAATCCTTTGATACAGGATTTTGCCTCTACAGATCTAAATTGGAATCAGTGGTTTCTTTGTTTGTCACTATGGAAACAATCAGCCTATCCTGAATAGCTGTTAGATCATACAGTGTGATACACACATTTCAGTGTAACTTCATCTCTGAGCAGGCTGAGGGTTGAGATCTACTTTGCCTCTAGCTCTTTCCTCTTTGGAGCCCCAAGCAACCATGCAGGTCCCACCTAAGAGGTTCTCAGCAGTGAATTTCCTCAGTACCTTTCTCCAGGGCCGAAGGTTCTCCACATCAGACCCTCTCCTGTGTATGCAGCAGCAACAGCCCAGCAGCTCCATGGCCAAGACGCTCTCCCCGTCCACTCTTCAGGTGATGGTGGCTATGGCCTCCATCAGCTGTGCAGAGGGAAAGCCAACTTTCTCTGAGAGAAAAAGTAAAGGTTTTTTCTTCTCATACATTGCCACACTATATTTTTAAGGAATGTGAATAGGTTGTATTGTGTTTATACCTTTATAAACTTTGGCAATTAAATCTGTGCTATACTTTTTACAGTCTTATTATAATAGGAGATAAAATGATCTAATGTTTTGGGGGTTTTATTTAAAATTTAGATAGTAAAATAACTGCTTTTACAATTACAATTACTGTTTCTTTCTCTTTATTACCAATATAATGTATGAAGATTATTGTATGTAAATGCATTTTTTATATTAAGATATAGTGCACTATGATAAGAAACTCTTATAGTAGAGTGGTAGAGTGGTTAAAGCATTCAGCTGTTAACCAAAAGGTCAGCAGTTCAAACCCACCAGCCGCTCCGTGGGAGAATGATGAGACAGTATATCCCATAAAGATTTACAGTCTTGAAAACCCTATGGGGCAGTTCTATTCTGTCCTGTAGGGTAGCTATGAGTTGGAATTGACTCAATGACAGTGTTTTGGCTTTGGATACTTATGATGAAAAAGAAACAGTTTTATTCTTGACAAGATGAAAGAGATTTAGAACTGATTCAACATCTAAAATCCTGAGGAAAAATGAAAGCTCTGTCTCCCATGTTCTGTACCATTTGGAGAGTAGCATTTTGAATCTTCTTTTTCTTATTTGTTCTAGGAAATTCAGGACGTCCAACACCAAAGTATACAAAAGTAGGGGAGCGTTTACGACATATCATTCCTGGATATATGGCCTGTTCCGTGGCATGTGGTGGTAGAGCCTGCAAGTATGAAAACCCCACCCGCTGGAGCGATCAGGAGCAAGCCATTAAGGGTGTCTACTCATCCTGGTAATTGATCCTGGCAGTCCTCCATAGCAATCACCTAATGCTAAGTAGAATCAAGGTGTGGAATTACCAGTAATACTGGGAGGCAGTGAAATGTGGAAGAAAGAGTATGAGATTTTGAAGTTATGATATCTTGCCTTCAATCCTAGTTTTGCCACTTTAGGAATTGTAGTATTCTGAGCACTCTAAATACAAGCACTCTAAACCTCAATTTCCTTGTCTTTAAATTGGAAATAAATATTAAATGAAATGATGTACATACAGTGTCTTATGGAAATAGGTAATTGGATCGCTTTCAAATGTCAGAAATTGCTAGAAATAATAAGGTTTATCTGTAAATGTGAGAAAGTATGAGGTACATAAGTCATTTTTCAGTTTTCTGTGGGTAAGCTGTTAGCCTCTTTTTTTTTTCTTTTCTTTTTTTTAACTTTTTGTTGTAATTTGGGTCAAAGTTTACAGAGCCAATTGGTTTTGCATCCAACAATTCATGCTCATTTTGTTTTGTGACATTCATTCCAATCCCTACAATGTAATAGCACTCTTCCTACTTCCTCCCTGTGTTTACCATTTCCATTCATCCTTTTTTCCTATCCCTTCCTGCCTTCTGAGCTGTATCCCTAGGCAAATGCTGCCCTTTTGATTTGGTGTGATTGATTGTTCTAATGAGTGTGTACCTCCCTGGTGTTATTGTTCACCTTATAGGTCTGTCTATTGTTTGGCTGAAAGTTGAGCCACAGGGGTGAGTTCAATTCCAGGCTTGAAGAGTGTTTAACAATCATAGTCCCAGTGGTTCCACCAGTCTCTGTTAGACCAGTAAGCCTGGTCTTTTTTATGATTTTGAGTTTTGTTTCACATTTTCCTCCCCTTCTATCCAGGTCCTCCTATTCTGATTTTTCAGAGCAGTCAGCAGTGGTAGCCAGGCACTGTTGAGTTCTTCTGGTCTCAGGGTTGTAGAGGCTGGGGTTCACATAGTCCATTAGTCCTTTGACTAATTGCTTCCATGCATCTTTGATTTTCTTCACTCTTTTTTGTTCTAGACAGGGAGATACCAATAGTTGCACCTTAGATGGCTGCTCACAAGCTTTTAAGACCCAAGTTAAACTTGCTGCCATCAAGTTGATCCCAGCTCATAGTGACCTCTCCTTGGGTTTCCAAGAAAAACTCCTTGGATTTTTCTATGGAAGTAGATTCCCCAGTGTTCCTTCTGAAGAGTGGCTGGTGGGTTTGAACCACCAGCCTTCTGGTAAGCAGTCAAATGCCTTATCCACTACGCCACCAGAGCTCCCTAAGTTACTACTCACCAAAGTAAGATGTAGAACATTGTCTTTGTGGACTATGTTATGTCAATTGGCATTAATAACCCCCAGGACTATGGTCCTGACCCCATAGGCCCAGCAACTTATTCCCTCAAGGTGTTTGGTTATGATTTTAGCCTCATTTTCATCCTGAGACTGTATACAAAAGGAAAACAGTTTTACACTAATATGCTTTGAGTCTCACTTAATAGAAATTGTACAAATTTTTAGTTGGTTAGACAATAAAAGATAGCTTGCACTGTTTATAAGGAACTCTGGTTGCCTAGTAGTTAAGGCATGTGGCTGATAACCAGAAGGTTGGTGGCTTGAACCCACCAGCCGCTCCACAGGAGAAAAATAGTCTGCTTTCATAAAGATTTACAGACTTAGAAACCCTATGGGGCAGTTCTACTCTGTCCCAAAGGGTCTCTATGAGTCAGAATCAACTCAGTGGCAGTGGGTTTGGTTTAAGCCTTTTGAGCTCTTTCCCCTCTGCTGCTTTTAAGTTACATATCCCCATCTTATACTAACTATTACACAGAGTTGGAGTTCACAAACATTGATCCTTGTTAAATTCCAGGCATTATTTTAGAGGGAGGCTCTTTTTGGATCCTCTTCTGCTAATGTAATGTCTCTATTATTATTCTCGGATTCATGCAATCCACAATTTCTGATAGACTTCCTTATGTATCTTCCACCACTCCAGTAAAGAAAAAATTTGAACAGAACAAAGTGAAGCCAGAGCCCTAATGAGCATGACAGCCAATTATTGGGCCTCTTTGTCCATTCTTTTATTCAGTAAATTTCCATTTGGCTACAGGCTGGGCATTGTGCTAAATACTTTCAAATTATAAGGAGCTTTGGTTGCATAGTGCCTAAGGCATTTGACTGCTAACCAGAAGGTTGCTGGCTCAAACCCACCAGCTGCTTTGTGGAAGGAATATGAGGCAATCTACTTCCATAAAGATTTACTGCCTCAGAAACCCAATGGGGGTTGCTGTGAGTCTGAATCAACTTGATGGCAGTGAGTTTGTTTCATTTAGTTTAAACTTTACAAAGATTTTGTGAAGTAGGTGCTACTAATACTGTTTTATTGATGAAGGAATTGAGGTCTAGAATAATTTGGTGCACAACTATAATGTAGAAAAGCTAGCAATTAAAGCCAAGACCAACTAATTCCAAAGCCTGTATTTTTTTTGTCAAATTATCATAACTCAACATTTGTTCATTACTGCTAGGATCTGTGCTAAAGACTTTACCTTCACATCATATTTAACTGTGACACCAACTCTCTGAGGCCAGCATCATTGATCTCATTCAACACAGTAGGTAACTGACATTCAGATAGTTTGTTGTTGTTGTTGTTATGTGCCGTCAAGTCGGACCCGACTCATAGCAACCTCTCCTTGGGTTTCTGAGGCAGTGTCACTATAGTTTAGTAACTAAAAATGTCTCCCAGTCAGTTCTTTTCACCTAGTCACTAACCTTGGCATAACTGATCCTATACTGTTACTTTTGTCTCCAGCTAAGGTTTCCCCGGGAGCTCTGGTAGCGTAGTGCCTAAGGCACTTGACTGCTAACCAGAAGGCTGGTGGTTCAAACCGACCAGCCACTCCTCAGAAGGAAGATGGGGCAATCTACTTCCGTAGTGATACTGCCTTGGAAACCCAAGGAGGGGTTGCTATGAGTCAGGTCCGACTCAAGGGCACATAACAACAACAACAAGGTTTCCCCATCATGTCTACTACAATCTCTTGAGAGTCCTTGAAAATACACTGCTAGAGTCCACAAATACTTTATGTCCTGCATTTTTTCCAGGGTTTTTAAGAAGCTAGGGTTTCTTAGAGCTATAATCATGATGTAAAACTATAGTTAGATTTGTATAAGAAGATTCTTATCTTGTACAGTTGTTGAAATCATAGAAAAAGTAGGAACTTAATATCTTGCCCTCTCTAGTCCTTAGAGCTAGAACATTTTAGGTTTTGTTTATCTCATCAGTCCTCCTCCCACACCTGCAGGGTCACTGATAATATACTTGCCATGGCTCGCCCATCCACAGAGCTCATTGAAAAGTACCACATCATCGAGCAGTTCCAAAGGTAAATTCTCTCATTGTTCACATATTATAGTAAAGGAGCTAATGCGTTTTTTCTTTCTGTGCTTTGGCTTCAAATTGAAAAAAAAAAAATGTTTTCATTTTGAAAACAGGTAGTGAAAAGCATATTTCAAATAAGAAATTAATGTTTGGAGAGTAATTAATAATAATTTTTAAAAATGCTAGTTCCC